GGCGTAGGGGTTTAAGGTTTAGGGTTGACAAGTGGTTTGTTTACGGGTTTACCTGGACCTGAAGAACCTACCTGTCTGTCAGGGCTCCCTATTATGACTTCCTTATACAAGTCCCAAAAGGTGGGAATTTCTCAAAGGGTCCTATGTACTGTTATGNNGGGGTACTTCCTTAAATCAAAATAGTAACCCACTACCGCTGATGGCAAAAGGCTCTCGCTTTCCAACTCCTGGCTCCAAGCTCATCAGCCCTAACCCTGATGCTACCTTTATACAGCCGAGGTAGACAATGCCCCAGCGCCCCGCCCGCGGGCTGGCGACACGGAACTTCCTTCTCTGGCGCCTGCGATATTGAATGGGCACCTTCTCAGCACCCCCACTCCTGGTTCTTGCAGAAGGGGCCGACGTGCGCGATTTGAAAGAAAAGAGTTGAGGCTCACATCTCAAACCTGTGAATGCCGCGTAGAAAGAATTTTGACGCAGGCGATAGCCCGAAGCCCTGTTCTATCTATGGGGGCCCTACGTTGCCAACTTCTGCCAAACCAACGACGTCTGAAGATCTACTCGCTCTTCACTGTTGGCCACAGGACCGGGACCAGAATGCAAATTATCTTACGCGGCTTTTCCTTAGTGCTCACTGTGAGCCGAGTGCCATTCCAAATATGTGAGCCCGCCCCCCCCCTATGGGCCCCTATAGCAGTATAGTCTTATCTTGGACTCAAGTAACATGAGAAAACATTTGCACAGCGACGCACCGTCATGAAGCTCAAGCTTCAGAGAGACCCCCCAAGCCTCATACCCTAAACACTAAATCCCAAACCATGTGCGAAGTTAGGTCCACCGCTGAACGTCTCCATGGTCTTCTCGGTCGAGTAAACGGCACCATGGCCTGCGATCCGAATTCATTGGGAGACTTTGAGATCTTGGCCCTGGGACATGCAGGCTTCTTACTTAATTTGTCGATAATGCTGATGTCAGATTATAACAACGTATAGCATAGTATTGCATAGTAAAGTATGGTCTAGGTGCTGATGTCAGGTTATAACAACGTATAACATAGTATTGCATAATGAAGTAGGGTCTAGTTAGTAGTGTCTTGCAAGGCTGACAGAAAGAACCCCAAACTCTAAGCCAAACCCTGAGCCCCTAAACTCTAAACNNCTAAGCCCTAAACCCTTAACCCTCAGTTAGTCAGTTAGCCCTAAACCGTAAACCCTGAACCCCTAAACTCTAAACCCGAAGCCCTAAACCCTTAACCCTTACTTAGTAAACCCGACGGTTTGAGCCATCATCTAAGCAATGGCTTGGACTCGCGGGCTTCGGATTACCGAACAGGGTTCAGGGTGCCGGGTTAAGGGTTCAGGGTTTAGGGTTTAGAGTTTGGTTTAGGGCTTAGGGTTTAGAGTCTAGGGTTTTGGGTTTAGAGTGTAGAGTCTAGAGTTCAGGGTTTAGGGTGTAAGGGTTTAGGACTTGGAGTCTAGCTCTCAGGGTTTAGGATTGAGGGTTTAGAGCAAGTTTAGGGAACAGGTTTTGGGCCTTTCTATGGTGCCCATGGGCTGGGTACCCAACAAACATGACATGTGTTCATGTGGTCCCGATGTAGTTCGTGCTTCTGGTAGCAAAGGCATGAGGCTGGTCTACCAAAATCCGAACTACAGTTGAAGGCTACAGATATATGAAGCAACTGCAACAGCCTCCTCCTAGTTATCGCCGTTTCATCTGCTCAAACGGATTCCAACGATCAACTATTGCACTGAGTCTCGTAATATAGGGTCCTTCATAATTAGAACAGGGTTTTGGGGTTCCTCATCATAATTATAGTGTAATGGGCCCCAGAACCCTATTTGAATTCTTGGGCCCCTATATTTTCTTGGATGCTTTCATAACCCTATAAGGGTCCATGTACCCAAATAGTATATATTTTGGCTTTAAAGTAGTCCCTATATAGGTACTTTGAGGCCAAAGTATATACTATTTGGGTACATGGACCCTTAGGGTAGCGGCTCCTTGCCGAGGACGCGCGCGGCGTCCCAGCATTCCCCTTCCTCCAGGGGGTCTCACAGCAAAGGCCTGGCCAAGGGTTTAGGGTTTAGGGTTTAGGGTCAAACTCCACACCCTAAATGGCCAAGGTTTTAGGGTTTAGGGTTGAGGGCTTAGGGTCGAACTCCACACCCTAAACCCTGAACCCGGAAGCCTCCAAACTCCATAGCTCAGGACTCTATGCAATGATAAGTTTCCCTAAGGGTCCATGCACCCAAATAGTATATACTCTGGCCTTAAAGTAGTCCCTATATAGGTACTTTGGGGCCAATGTATATACTATATGAGTACATGGACCCTTAGGGTTTTAAACCCGCATTTAAGCTTGGAGTCTCAAGCCGTGTCTTCTTGCATTGCTCTGAAGCTAAATCACAGGGAATTGGGTTTAGGGTTTAGGGTAATAACAGCACTGATCATCTCAAAATCTTCATAGGACCTTGAAAACCCTATAAACTCAAACTTCCGTCGACTGGAGCAGCTTGCAAAAGGAGCGCACGGCGGCTCACCGCGGCTTCTGCTTCAATTACCGGAGACTTGGACTCGACTTAAAACCTTTTGTCGACGGTTTAGGGTTTAGGGTTTAGGGGGACCAACAGTTTTTTGACAAAGCCGCAGTCAGCCACGTGCAAGCTGCTCTGCCGGCTGCCTGTAACACAGGCGTGTCGCAAAAAGGAGGGAAAGGGCAGGGAAGGGGGGTGGAGGCATGGGAAGGAGATGATATACGAGTACGTTGATGAACAGCAGAAAGCTGAAGAGGACGAAGATGAGCAGCGGGAGGAGGATGCAGTGAATATGCCCTGTTGGCACCATGAGGATCGTAGTGGCAGCGTGGGCGGTGGGCTTGGTGGTGCTGCCGGTGCTGGTGGTGGGCAGTGTGCTGCGGCGGTGTCGCGGAGATGATGGCGGTACAGCATGACCACCATGCTGATTATAAGATGCTATGTGTCTTGACGAGGTCGACCCTCACTGATGAAGATGACCAGGATCAAGATTATGTAATCACAAAGTTATGCTTGAGTCATTCTGTCATTGCGATCTCGGCTTTATGCCATGTGTTGCGCCGGCCAGCAGTACAAAACCAGCGTCTGAGGATGAGTGACTCCATCCCCTTGAATCGCAAGCAGCTGGATGTCCGGTCGCAGGCATGCGGCATCCAATCTCTCAACTGTGGCATCTCCCGACCCAAAGGAGGGCTCGTGGACACATTTTGGCAGTGCTCAAGATCCTTTCTTTCACTCCCTATACTCTATAACCCAGTGTTGAAGATTGCCTATTCGATATTCTTAGTCCAAGTGTTTTTTGGCCCCCTTTGCTGAAGATTCCCAGCTGTCGAAGGCCTGCCGCACAAAGCACGACACCTACCCACCGGATTTGCCCAGCGCAACCATCATCGTTGCGGCTTGGAAAAACTAGGCCCATGATGTCACCTTGCCGAGTTTCCCACAGAGCCTGCGAAGTACGTGAGGCTTGAAGGATTTTCGATTTATTGTGGGGCCAAAGCAGATTCGTCATGGTTTTGGATTGAGCTGTGTTGAGAGCGCCGTAATTGACGAGAGTAGCCCTAAAGTCCTAAACCTTACCTGAACCTATAAAACCCTTCTTTCTGAAAATCCATATACTTATATTTCCTTATATAAATCCTCAAACACGTAGGTTGGTTGTTTGGGATCCAGGTAAGCCTTTTGGGATTCGAGCTGCTTCCTTTTAGACTTACTTCACTATCAGTTCGGAGTCCTGAGTGCTAGGATCACTGCATGCCAAGCTTGCCAGTGCCGACGCCCGAAGTTCTAACTAATGCAAGGGCCTTAATAATTAGAATAGGGTTTTGGGGTATATCATACTATATACATAATCAGGAACCTTTAAAAGAAGTATTGGTAATTATTTAGGCTACTGCATTAAATCTTTAACAGCCGTTCTCGATTTAAGTCCAAACCCAGAGACTTTCAGCCCCAAGCCCTAGCCCGAAATGCAGTCGCTTCAGAGTTTCGTTTTTAGGGTTTAGGGTTCAGAATTCAGTGTCCAGTCTCAGGTATTTCACAACGAGCACGTCTCAGTTCTCCTCCGCACCCTGCACTCCATCTTGCAACTGGGCTTCTGTTGGGTAGTTCTCTACACCCTTATTTAAAGGACCCTAAAAGGGACCCTGATTAAGAGAACTAACCTGTTTGGTGCAGGCTTCATAGCCTGGAAGAGCTCTGCACATGGCATGAGTAAGTTTGAGGACGTACTGAGCTTCATGGATGATCAAGAGTCGTGTTAGAGGTACGGTATCTGGTATCTGTGGTTTTTATATTGTCGCCCCGCGCTGCATTTGATGCTGTTCATGAATGCTCAGGTCCTTGCTTGCCACTTGAATTCTAAAGCCCTGGGCATCACCCACAAGACGCACTTATCTCCAGGCACTAAAGAGGGCACCATTGGTTTCGCAGAGAGGTGCCAGAGAAAATCAGCCCCGGTTTCCCCAACTCCGATGCCGCCTGCCGCAGAGTGCATTCGACAAGAGCAGCCGAGGAATCAGTCACCACCGCGATTGTTGGCGCAATTGCGGCTTGTTAGATTTCAATTACACCACAGAATCCCTAAACCCTATAAGCTATAGCACTTCTGTCGTTTTCTGTGTTGGATGTCAGGCAACACATTTCATGCTGCAGTGCTGGGTTGAATAACTTGCTCCTCCAGGTCGTTCCTCTTGGGATTTGGGTCGTGTCGGTGGTTGATGTTGGAGTCACGTCCTGGTAGATCAAAACAACCTACATACATACATACATACA